GGGGGGGTGTTAATTTGTCTCAGGAATTCTTTCCAAAGGAAATTGAACACGCAAATGTACCCTCAAACGAAGCCCGTTGCCTATTTCCTTCAATCTATCTATCTATTTATCTATCTATCTATCTATCTATCTATCTACCTACCTATCTATCTATCTATCTATCTATCAATCTATCTATCTATCTATCTATCTATCTATCTATCTATCTATCTATCTATCTATCTATCTATCTATCTATCTATCTATCTATCTATCTATCTATCTCTACTTACTGTTACTTGCACGCATGCACACTCCCCAAAAACTAAATATGCAGCCGCATTAAAACTCGGAACACTCATATATTATAGTCATAGCTCTACCTATCAGTAACGTGTATTGACGGAGAAAAAGTCGACGTTTGAAAGATGTGGCATTTTCGTCGCTCGAGAGTATAATGTTTTCTCACGGAGAAGGCGACATGGTCTTAATAAGTTTATACATTAAGGCGAGGTAGCAACCTTGTCATGTTGACTATTTCAACGAGACGACATGTACAACAACAACAATCTGGAACTGGTGTGTGTGTGTGTGTGTGTGTGTGTGTGTGTGTGTGTGTGTGTGTGTGTGTGTGTACGCGCGCACGTGCGCGTGCGTGTTTGTATGACTGTGTATATGAAGGGCAAAAGGGAAAAGCAAGCGTTGTCAGTTTTTTTTTCATTTTCTGGATTACTGTCCCAGCATGATGGCTGGTTGGACCTACTTTAACCTATCTAAGTCAGATACGGTGCTGCCAGTCTCTGTGAGGGTTAGAAAATATAGCCCACAATGGAAGAACCAGCGATGTCAGGATGTCAACAACGGAAAAATCAGCGATGTCTTAGTTTCGTCCCTTTGTGACCAATCAGAGATCAAATTTCAGTGAAAAATTGTGAAATGGTATAGGTTTAACGCCTCTGTCAACATCATTAGATTATATAAGAGGTGGGACATCCGAGTTTAACGTCCTTACCCGAAAGGATGGAGCCAAATAGGAAATTCATGCAAAGTTCCTTTCCCGAAGTACACAACGTCGGACTGAGATGAGGCTCTAACCCCCATACTGTTCTTATATGCGCTGTTAAACTGGAAAATCCTTCATCGGCACCAGTGTAACGCTAACCTTTGATTTTTTGAAGAACTTGAGCTGCCCAAACATCTCAGCAAACAATTTGTACATTCGTTAGCAGCTATCTTTCTTTTCCTTAAAAATCTATTCTCTAAATGATGAAACAGTACACCTGTACTGTTACGAGACAATCTGCAAAAAGGGTGGAAACGATGTGGCCAGCATGCCGCTACATTACTTTCTACCCGTTCTGCCAGTTGATGTGACTCGTGCACAGGCCAGAACAAGAACTGGACGCTGATCTGGTTTCTCTGTCATGTTGTTGTCCACCAGGAAAGGTACTAACAAGTGAAAATCTCATTTCCAGTGAGAGGCAACAGCTATATGGAATGCGACAGAGACATGACAGTGGTGAATTAGAAGTTCATTGTTGATATGCCAGCCCGTTTTCGGGGGGGGGGGGGGCAATTCAAGACAGCCCTTTGGAAACGTTAGTGTTCGTTCGTTACACGTGCTGTCAAATGTAATCTAAACATGTCTTTCATTAGTGGTTCAGACCAAAGTGATGTGTGGCCTTATTGACGAGAGTTAAAGTTCGTGTTTGTAATGTGCTTTATCGTGGCCATAAATTTCTGGTCTTTTCTCATGAGATGCTGGTGTGCAAGTGTCACAGTGTGTTATGACGAGCTGCTCTTGGGGTGAAAGAGGTTTCTTATAGTCTGTGCTTTATTTTTGTATGTGCGGTCCAATCATCTACAGCGGGTATTATGTATTTGGTTGGATTATGACTTTCGAAAAACACATTCTTCATCTGAATAATTTTGTGGAACTATGGTGAAACTCGCTATACTCAAGCCTTTCTTTTAATGCAAATGATTTTACTTTCCATCGACACAATGTATATATATACATGTAATTTAAGAGGCGTGCTTCCGCCGACACTGTCTGGCAGAGCCAGGATAAGCAAGTACAACATCCCAGCTTAACGACCGATATACATGTACTTGATAAAAAATCCTCCCCACTCGGGAATCGAACTCAGGTGTCCTGCTTGCGACAGCGAAGCGCCTAGCCGCAACACATCAAACGCTGGTGTGCATAGGTCTCTCAGCACAATTTTGAATAGGAATATTGTTGTTATTCTGGTAACCTGGAGGTGTCATCTCTGACTCAGAGGTTGACGTGTAATGGCCGTCCATCTTACACGGTCGTGAGCTGCCATTGCACATTCTGTCATATCCAGGCCAGTCCGTGTCCTTATGTTGTCCATCCATGTCATTCTTTGCCTTTCTCTGACTCTCCTGCCCCACTTCTTTCCCTCAAGGACATCTTTGACAATAGTCTCGTGTCGTTTTAAATGGCCATAGCATTGCATTTTACTACATTTTATTTCGTTCAGCAGGATTTATCTTGCGTGTAGAATCTGAGACACCTCTTTGTGTGTCTTTTTTGTTTTCAAACGTATTCTGGCCATTCTATGGTAGCACCACATCTCAAACGCATTTATTTTGTTTTCTTTTTTTTCTGGTCAAAGTCCAGGTCTCTGCACCATATAGGAATATGGGGAAGATGGAGCATTCCGGCATTTTCTTTCTAAAAGTGAGAGATAGTTGCCTGGATTAAAAGTGTTTGTATATTTGGCTGAATCTTGTTTTTACAGCTGCTGTTCTTATGTTTATTTCTTTTTCACTTCTTCCATCATCTGTGATTGTTGCCCCTAGATACTTGAATTGGTGGAATTGTTCGATTCTCTCCCCATCTGCAGTTATGTCTGTTGTTTTTTCCAGAAGATTTTGATAGGAATATTGTTTTTGTTTTCTTGGACTTCATGTCGGGGCCTGCCTTGCTGCTGTTCACTTTTACTAGATCTACTTTCCTTCTTTGTTACACCATCATCGGTCCAACGAGTTTCTGATATACCTAAAATATCTGTGTCCAGCTCACTTGCTTCTTTAATTAGGTTCTCTAAATTCCCTGGTTTGTAGAGGGTTCTCACTTTCCATACTCCAATTTTAAAACACTTCCTTTCATACTTTGGAAGGTTACCGTCAGACTGCAGCACTCCCGGGGGAATTTGGTCAGCGTCGTCATTATTAACCCTCCTCGGTGATGCAGTACTCGTTTCTTCCTAGTTCGTTTTTACAAAAGGCATCCACCCGGCAGGGTGGCCCGAGGTGTCTGTATGACAGTTTGTTTTAATTTCTTCGGTCATTACGTTTCTTTGAAAAATACGTGGT